ATGAGTCCAAGCTCCCTAGCCCAGAGATCCACAGCTCTCACAGACAGCTCCTTCCCTGCTACAGAACTCAGAGCATTTCCTTCACACCCGCAGCTTCAATTTCTTCTAATAGCTTAACTGATAACTTAGCTATTGTTCTTTGAAAATTATTTAGAGGTATGGAAGGTTCAAGGCCAAATTATTTAGCAAACAGTTCAGAATAAGACTTTAGTAGAGAGGATTTATAAAACAGGTGAAGGAAGAGAAATCTGGGATTAAAAGAGAGAAGGAATTTTGGGGAGAAGAGATAGTCAGCTAGAGGGTTTAACTCCTCTCTGCACGCTAAGGTCTTTGAGTTAAAGACTAGAGCCCACTTAACCTGGCATAAAGCCAAGGGGATGGCAATGAGGGCCCAGAGGCCAGAGCCCATGCGGAGCCAGCTTTCTAAACAGATGCCTGCCATCCCTCTTTCCCTCCACTTCCCCCTCTCACTATGCATGTCTTCGGCTTCTTCAACTTGGGGTCTGCCCTCACCTTGGCCAAGGCTTTGACTTGAGCTGTCAACAGTGGGAAGATGTTTCTCCGTCACTTCCTGCCGATTCTTGCAAGAAGAAATTGGATTGGCTAGACCTGATGGAGCCAAGTTAACCTAGCCAATGGAGCTTTGGGTCAGGTATACATTTCTGGCTTAATTAGCCTTTGCTACTCCTCCCAGGGGGATGATGATTCCCTTTCTTTTGAGTGTGGCCTGGCCAAAAAAAAAAAAAAAAGATACTGTCTTTTTGCAGAGAGTGGTCTTTTTTTTTCTCACACCCTCATCAGGGTCAAGAATGTCATGTCACTGACCTGAGGTCGGGCCTTTAAATCTAAGGGGCCCTGAGAAATGTCTGCTGATGCATTGGTCTCTCAATGTCCTGGAATCTTGCCAGGCAAGGTCTGCTTGCTTTATGTTCCTGTCTGGGCTCCAGGGTTTTCTCTAAAGGGAATGACAAGCTCTCCCTGCAGGTGGAAAAATTTCCAGGTTGAAAATTCAGCCTCTTGGCCACTTAATTCCACAAGTCTTTTTGCCAAAAGATTACAAACTTCTTAAAGGGAGGTAATCTTGGAGATCAGACCCAGTGATCTCGTCTTACAGATATAAGGACTGAGGCCCAGAGAGAGGCAGTGTCACACAGTGATGGAGGGTCAGGTGGTACTTAGAGCCTTGCAGGTGCCTTGCCATGACTTCAGCATAGAATGCCCCCAATAAACATTCTTCCATTTACCTCTTATTTCACGCTGGCTTCTCTCAAGTTCACAGTTCTTTGCTCATGTCCCTTCCTCCTTCACCAACTGCCACCTCTAGGATCGATTTGCATCTTCCTTCCAGGCAATGGTCTTTGGGGTTTTGTAATGGAAGATGAGATGAGGGGGGAGTGAAATTCAACCTGGGTCTATCAAGCCAGTATCTCTCTAGGCCAACACCACCACACCACAGGACAAACACCAGAGGGGCTCCTCCCTTTCTTCTGCAGGGTGGGCAGGCCCCACACTCTACAATGAGGCCACTCCAACTCCCATCAGATTTCATGGCTTTTGCACAGTACCCAGGCTGGTGCTACCTACGTCCCCCATCAAGTGGGCTTTCTGATGACTTCCACCTGGTGAGGAAAGTTGTGTAGCCATGGATTCATTTTCCTCCCAGGAGAGTTTTCTGACCGTTGCACCGCCAGGGTCCTTAGTTCACCAAGAGTCACCATACCAGTGGGGAATTCCATTCCTTCCCTACCACCTCCTGGGTATCCGCATGGGCAGCCAGGTTCTCTCCACCAGCTTCTGGCTTTGCTAACAGCCCTTCAGTCAGTGTGAGGAAGCTGCCTGTATGAGGTCCTGGGTTCCTAGCATTGAAAAATAAGTAAGCAGACAAATACAAAATGAGAGGCCCTGCTGGAGGTTAACTTCTCACTTGGAAACGCTGTGGAGATGGCTGTGAGAAGGATTGGGAGGGAAGGAGATACATATTTCTTTTACCCGCAGCTTGGGCAAGTATAGATTAGGGAAAGCAACTTCTTGAACCAGAAAGATGCTGGGCTTTCACTTATAGAATATATTGTGAGGGAAAAAACCAAACCAAAGAAACAAAATATCCATCACTTCTGCAGTTGCTCAATGCCAACGTCTTTTCCCTAGGACTGGGCAGTCAGCCCCTTTTCTGACTCCAGCTTGCAGGTGAATGCGAGCCAAGCAAGGCCAGGCCTCCACTCCGGACACTTCTATCAGAAGGATACACAAGACCTCCCTCCTAAAGTCCCCATCACAAGCGGCAAAGCTACCACCAGAGACCATGTAAGAGGGTCCTCAGCAGGAAAACATTGGGTTGGAGGAGAGAGTGACTAGAAGGTCTGAGAAGGTTAGTGACAGTCTAGTAGGCTGGGAAGGAGCTGGGATCTGAGAATATGGGAACCGGGAAGTAGTTTGATGGACACCCATGCAGTGGGACTCATGGTACTGTCCACTCTCCGAGGGGAGCCAGCCTTGGGCAAGGAGACTCAGCATGGGGTCTTTGGGAATAGAAAGCACATAGACCTCAGTGAGCTGATGTGGAAAAAGCAAAGGACCAAGGTCCCTTGAAGACAAAAGAACTTATTTCCCATATTAGGATGAAGGACTCAAGATTCGGTCAGCTCTGTTGGCCTATAATTAGATAAAGAAAAACTACACAGCCATCCTTATGGTCCAGAAAGATCTTGGCCCAGGAAAGGAACTCAACCACACTGCCCATATTCCACAGGACAGACCCACATAAAAACCGGATTACCACTGATTCCCATAAGGCTAAGGCTGTTAAATGAGTTCCTCAAGGTTTAAGTTAGCCACCCATGGTCACAGCCATAAGGGATCAAGCCAGTAGTCAAACTCAGGGGTCAGCCTGACTGAAAGAGTCCCCTCTGCTGTGCTTAGCCATGGCCCAAACCCCACAGAGCCCCACAAGTGCTCTGTGAGGATGTTTTATATTCTACAGGCCACTCAGCCTCTCCTCACCTCTGAAAGGTGAGGAGACTTGCAGCCAGGGTGAAGACAAGACCAGACACTTCATTGTCTGTTGCTTTGCAGGTGGTGTGCCTGTCACTGGATGTGCAAACCCCAGCCCTGAGAACAAGGTAAAGAAATCGGGATTTGCTGGAAGGCTAGAATCTGGTACTATTAGTTAATATTTTGTAAACCCGGGCAATCATCCAGATGTTAAGAGTGTAAAAACGACTCACAGCTGAGCCAATGAGGCATACTGCTGAGGACAAACCCCAGGAAGTCAGGTACACACACTTGTGTTCCTTCGCTAATGGGGTCAGGAGGACTGTGCCTTGTACCAGATGTTGGTTGTAGATTATGGGCAAGGTCTCTGAGCCTACAACACAGCTGCTGCTTCTTCTTCTACTCCTCCTCCTCTCTCTCTGTCTCTCTCTGTATGTGTGTGTGTGTGTGTGAGAGAGAGACCCACTGAGCACTTTGGTTTGGTTCAAGAGTCAAAGGCACTCTGCACAGGTTGTGAACATGTTTTCCGGTTTGCTTTCTGCCCATGACTTGCTTCACTGTTCAAAGCTTGCTACAAGACACCGGTCACCCTAGGACCACTCCAAACCCTGCCTCTTCAAGCAAGCAGCCAGCCCCAGGCTCCTTTTGCCATCTAGGCTCACTGTCTAGCCATCCCTTTTGCTCTGCACTGCCCTCCCCTGCCAGCCCCCCCCCCCAACAACCTGTCCCCTGTCCAGCTGAAAAGCTGGGGGTTGCAGAATTAGCTCTCTTCTCTTGAATCTAGAACTTCCCATAGCCATAACAGAGGCCATCACGGGGGGGGGGGACAAAACAAAACAAAACAAAACAACAAAAACCCATAGTAACTCTTCATTCAAGTACCATCCCTCAGGAAGCCTCCCATCCGCATCCTGGTTGGCTGTTCCTCCAGAGGTCTCATGGTGCTTTGTGCTTGTCCCTGAATGAAGTGCTCACTTAACTCCTATTCTTTCATAGGCTGTGGCCCTCCCACAAGGCTGAGTTCCTGGAGGGCACAGACTGAGGGGCTTCCTGGTCACTCCATGCCGGGGTATGCTCATTGGATGTTTTACCAATTCATCACTCAAACGTTTTCTAGAGCAGGTCTCTTCTAACAACTCCGATATGCCCCCGACTCCACCGCTTGGTGAGACATACAGCCCGTTGTATTATTCCTGGAGGCCTCTGCGCTAAGGTTGGTTTTTAACCAAAACAGTGGAGATCTGGTCGACCGATGACTGCATTATCCACTACATCGAATCCTCCCTGCTACAATGTCCCAGCTTTTAGCATGGCCAATGGAAAATTAATCGGTCGCAAAGTGCATATCTAATTACAACACACCGCCCCTGCCACAGCGATGCACGAACGTTAATTATAACATATGAATCTCAATAACCTACGGTGGCATTTAATGCCGCATTAATAACGCCACTTGTCTCCCCTGCAACATCTCCCCCAGCGCATACACTGCGTTTTCTCTTATCCACCATTAGGATAGACTTTACACTTTAAGCGCGGAAGTCTTCATCCTTACAGCCTGCCTGGTTCTAAAACCGAGTGTTTCTCTGCAAGCCTGGAGGTGCCTTCCCCCTCAGTTCTATCCCCCCACCGCAGAGGGCCCTGCTAGCGCAAGAGGTCTTTGGAGGGCGGATGTCACCGTAGCAACACTGGTCTGTCCAGGCAGTTCAGGCGGCATCCCTAGTGTCCCTTCGCTTCCCAGCGCTCTGGGGCCCGCCATCCCAGGAAAGAAAGGCGAACTACATTACCCAGCAGGCTTTCCGTCTCCCTCTTTCCTTTCAAGTCTTTGCACGTGGCCGGAGGGGGAGGCGGGGCCTGGACGTCACTCTTGTACATTCTCTTTCCCTGTGTCAGAACAGGGATCATTTTTTTCCTTCCTCTACTCCCTCCCTCTGCCTGCCCCTCCCTCCCTGCCTCCCCTCCCTCCCTCCCTCCCTTCTCGACTGGGTCGGTCCGCCGGGGTGCCCGATCCCCTCACGGCTGGGACGCTCCGAACTCCCAGCAGGAGTCGGCTTTCGGGAGCCTGGTCCCTCCCTTCCCCTTCCCTGCCCCTTCCCCCACCCCCGACGCGGGCTCCTCGCGGCGGCCGGAGGAACCCCGAGGTGAGCATCCCTCGTCCGCCCTTCTCTTTTAGTCACCTCGGCTTGCGGGTGGATTCGGGGACCCGGGGCGTGCTCTCGATTATAGATAAATCCGGGAGAACCGCTGCAAACAATCCTCCCCCTCCCCCTCCCGGTGCCTTAGCCAGCCCGGTGTCCGCACCCTTCCACCGTCCCCTCCTCTGGGTCTAGGGGGCATCGCACTCTCCGATCTCGCCCCTGCCCAGGGTTTGTCCTGTGGTGGGCCCCGCTCCCCGCGCTGTAGGGACCGTGACGCCGGACCTCCGAAACCCTGAAGGGTTCCTGGGGGGACGCGCGTCTGGAGCCCCGCTCGCGTTGGAGCTGCGCGTTGTAGCCGATGTCATGTGCCGGGTTCCGACCCGCGGGGAGGAAGCCCGCGAGCGAGATTCCTCTCCCTTTTGTTTTGGAGCCTCGTTTGCTGCAATGAGCAGTTGCTCCAGCGCCAGGCAAACTTGCAGCTGTTGGGACCGCGCTCTGCGCCGAGGTCGGGGCGCTGCTGGGGAGGCGGCGGCGGGCGCGGCTGCAGCACTCGGAGCTGCGGGAGGGAACCCGGGCGTGTGTGTCCACGCTGCCCATCCCCGCCGGGTTGACGGACTGGGTCTGTGGCCGCGGCCGTCCCCGCGGGCTCGGCGATGTCTGTGGCCGGCTCTCGTCTAGACAGGCAGCAGACCCCTCCTTTCGTCCCCGGTGAGCCCGCGGGCCTCGGAGGGCGCGGCGGAGGGGAGCAGTGGGGGCAGCTTTGGTAGCTCCATCGCAGTGGCAGCGTTGGCCGTTCTCCGCCGTGGCGATTCTGTTGGCTTTAAGAATTGTCATTCCTGTGGCCTCGGAGTGATGGGGCCTGGGGGATAGAAACGCCCTGTCGATCTGGGCTTAAGTTGACAGGCTCCAAAAAAGCCGATTCTTGCTGGCGAGTAACCCGAGGGCCGCGGAGTGGGCTGATGGGGGGGGGCCTAGCAGGTGACAGTCAAGGCGCGGGTTTTAGGGGAGATGGGGGCGGTGGCTTGGCTGAGGCAGAGGTCTAGGGGACCCGGAGGCCGCGTGCGGGTTCCTGGATGCCACCGGAGGAGGCGTCCCCGGGACCGGGAGTCGGAGCTGGTTATTTATTGGCATTAAAAGACAATCCAGGATTCAAAACCCTTCACTCGGCCTCCTGGGCTCTGATTTTTGCAGAGTTCTCAGGGTAAGGGCCAGGGGGCGTGTGAGCTGAGAAGGGGGCGCGGCATGTCGAGGGGAGGGATCGGTGGCTGTGCCCTGCGTGTCCCCACCAGGAGGGAGGCGTCGCCTCCCCCGCCCAACTGTTTGTGTACACACAGCTTGCTCTTGGAGGGGGCGGTTTAGTGGAGAACAGCGTGGGGTGGATGCCTCAAGGGATTGGCCCAGCCAACCCCAAATGGTGTGAGTTGGGCTCTCTGTCCTGTGGGTGTCCGGGCTTGCGTTACTAAGGAATTCTTTGGCTGGCGCGGGGAAGACCTTAAGGTGGCTTGGGCTCTCCGATGCATGCGGGAGTCCCAAGCCCTGTTTCCCTCCCTCCGCGTTTCTCTTGTTCCCCGTAGTCCAGTGATTGGTTGCCCACCGAGCTGGCTGGGAGGATCCACCCAAACTCTGGCGCCCCACCCACCTACCCCGCACACCCTGCGCGCCGGCTCAGGATCCTTGACCCTAGTCTGGAGGCTCCCAGTGATGCTTGTTCCTGCACATTCTCTCAGCTGTCTTCCCAGATCCTGGAGAGAATGTACCCGTTCAGCCACTCCTCCTAGCTCGCAGTTCTTCAGTTGAGGACCAAATCCTGCCGGGTAGCGTAGGTCCTGTCTGCTTCTGCCCGCAGACCTGAGGGCACACGCCACTCACTGCCTGCCCCCCCCCCCCCGCCCGGCTGTCATTTTTGAAGCTCTGAGATTATCCTCCTCTGGCTAGGGGCGCCTGCACAGCTTGGGCGCCTGGACGCCTCGGTAGCTGCAAGCTCGGGTGTTGGGAGCCTCCCCAGGTCGAAAGTGACACAGCTTAAGCACCGCCTCTGCTCAAAGGAAGGCGAGGCAGAGCACAGGGAGGAGCAATGGGCTGTCCTGCCCGTTTCCTCCTACCCAGCGTAGGACCTGGGCCCAAACCTCTGGAATCTCTGCTCCCAGAAGCCCTGGGCGGTGCAAGGAAGTCGCCAGGATTTTCAAACAACCCAATTATACAGAAACAGATTACCCTCAACAGACACTAGATAGTGGCAGGACGTTCTCCAGTGGTCCAAGTAAAGTCCTTTGAGTATGTGAAATAGGACTGCACTGACTCGGCAATGGCAATAGGGCTCAGCTGTGCGTCCCGTGCCTGCCCTGGTGAGGACCACTCAGCTCGCAGGCAGTAATTTGTGAGGCGTTCTGGGTATTGTGCCATTGAGCTGAGTAGATTTCTAGAATAAGAACGTGTTTGTATGAATTTACAGAGCAGCTTTTCTCCTACATGTCATTACATATATATGAGGTAGGGAAGGACCAATCCCACCTTACAAATGAGGACACCATGGCTCAGGAAGTGATGTCACTTGCCTAGGGACTCTCAGTAGGGTTAGGGCAGATTCCCTACTCTTGTTTCTCTTTGCAGCCCATAGTTGTTTACTGTTGTTTAAGACAGGGGCTCTCTCCAATGTCCCCCGGCCTACCATCACCTCCCAAATGCTGGGATAATCCACAGCTTTTGATTTTAAATGGTGACCATTTTTTGAGGGTGAATTCTTGGTACCTCAGGAAATAGCCTGAGAAAGGGGTAAATTATGCTGGTCCCTACTCTTTGTCAGAACACTTTTTTTGTTGTTGCTTGGAGACAAGGTCTCACTATACTGTCTTTGCTGGCCCCGAACTCATAAAGATCCAACTGCCCCCAGAGTGCTAAGATTAAAGGTGTATACACCTGTGCTTGGATTTCATCAAAATAATAGTGAATAATGAAAACAGCTACTGTAAAACCACAGGCCTTTATCACTCGCCTAATAATTTGATGTTAATGAGTACATGGCAGCTGTGACATGCCTATATGTCAACATATAACACACATAGGGTACACATGTACTTGTGCATGCGTGTTCATGGAGTCCTTAGTGAATCTAAGATGTCTTTGCTTGCATAGTTTTTTTTGTTGTTCATGTTGTTTGTTTGTTTGTTTTTGAGGCCTGCCGGCCCGCCTGGGGTTAGTACAGCCCAGGGTGGTTGATCTCAGACTCACAGCGACATTCCTGCTTCAGGCTCCCAGAGCCGCCAAGATTTATTCTTTATTCTTTACTGCTTTCAGTTCATCAAGTTATTTATGCAGTACCCCCCACCCCCATCTTCCTCCCTCTCTAGGGATCCTCAAACCTAGGAAACTGCAAGCATCCCCACACCTCTATGTGAGTGCCTGGACACTCATACAAATGAAGGGGCTCAGACATGGCCTTGGAGGGATCTTCAGGTTGGCGGCCTGATCAGCAAATTATCCGAACCACCCATCCACTCACAGATGTGTACCGGGCACCTTTGAGCTCGTGTATTTTGAAGTACATGCAAGAGAAATTAACACCTGCTTCGTGCTGTGTGCAGAGCAGTGATTCTCAGCCTGTGGGGCCTGACCCCTTCTGAGGGTTCGAAACACCTGCTCCCAGGGGTCGCCTAAGACCATCAGAAAACACAGATATTTCCATTACGATTTATAACAGTAGTGAAATTACAGTTATGGGTTAGCAATGAAAACAGTTTTCTGGTTGGGGTCACCTCAACATGAAGAACTACATTAAAGTGTCGCAGCATTAGGAGTGTTGAGAACCACCATGTTAGAGACTAAAACTGAACCTACCCAGCCGGTTCCTCTGAGCACCAAGGCACTGTAAGGATGTTTGTTCTGCCCCTACCCCAGCTCTAATGTCCATGACTCAGATCTCACCAGGCCCTCCTGCAAGGGCTTACAAGGTGTGTGCAGATGTCAGTATGAGGTTTGTAATGCTGGTATGTTAGTATGAGGTCTATGATGCTGGTGTGTTAACATTTGATGTTAGTATGAGGTATGTGATGTTAGTATGTGTATGTGAGTATGTGATGCTAGTATGAGGTCTGTGATGTTAGTATGTGAGTATATGATGTTAGAAAGAGGCCCTGCAGGGCTTACAAGGTCTGTGTAGATGGTAGTGTGAGGTCTGTGATGTTGGTGTGTTAGCATGTGATGTTAGTATGCAAGTATGTGATGTCAGCATGAGGCCCTGCAGGGCTTACAAGGTCTGTGTAGATGTTAGTATGAGCTGCTTTCATCTGGTCCCAGATTCACTTGTGTGGTCTCTGGCATCCTCCGATCCATTTTTACTACCCTGACTCTAAGGCACTAGAAATGCTGATCATGATGGTGGAAGTTGGGGGTGGGTGGTAGCGATGCAGACTCTTGTTTCTAGAGAGACAGACAGACAAATTACAGTCTCTGAGAGCTCTCCCACAGTGGGGTGTCTGTAGGACTTACCTGATCACCTGTTAACTGTAGTCGGTAGCCTGAGCCTAGCTGTGGTTCAGAACAGGGTGCAAACGGACCCATCCTGGAGCCAGGCAACCTGAATAGAGAATCAGATTGCCCAGTCTCCATGCAAAGACCTCAGGGCCTCAGAGGCAAAATGACTTACTCGGGGTCACATGCAGCTCTTGGTGGAGTGGGGCAGGAAACCTTGGTCTTTAATGCCTGATCCAATTTCTTTCTCATGACCCTCCTGCCTCCGCCGCTTCAGCATCTCCTACTGGGGTAGGTCCATGTCACCACAACTGACCCAATTTCTTCTTCTATACCAGATACTTACCCCCGCCCCCCAAAAAAACCAACAAACCAAAGAACCAAACCAACCAACCAAACAACAACACAAACAGAAAAAGCGGCTCGTTACTTTTCAGTCTGTCCAGTGTGTCTCCTCTTTGCTTTGGCATCCACTTGGCTGGAGACTGCTTTCCTTCAGGGCTGGCCTTTGTTGCCTTGTGTTTTGTCTTGGCATC